GGCTGGAAGCTCGTCCTGGAATATCACTTTCACTACACTATTATTATCGACTTCCTGGAATACCACGTGTATATTTTGTTAAGGCATATTGGAATGTTCAATTTCATAGCATGATAACAATCAGTCTTAAAAAATCGAAAATCTTATTGAAATAATTATATCATAGCAAATTCATTTTGTAATTGAACGAATTTCTATATTGAAGTCCGATTTTCTGTACAAAAATAATGCAACAACTTCCACATTTTAAAGAAATCAATTAATGTTGGTCCATTTTTGCTAAGAAAATAATAAATAAATAAATTGTAATTAATGGAAAGTAATTAATAATGAGAAAATTTGATCATATCTGTTTTTAAAAATCGTAACAGAAAAACAAATATTAAATAAAATTGTATAATACGGAAATAATATGCAATAAATGTTGTTAACTTTTTTAACTTCTAAATTTGATAAATAGGACTCCCTTTAATATAAGTATAGATTTGGCTAATTTTTGAATCATTCGGGGATTAAAATATGTTTACTTTGTTGTTTATTTTGAATAAGTCTTAGTTATTTTTTTAGGCATTTCGTGAAGGCATGTAATATGTAATTATTTGGACCATGATAGGTAAACATGGTGCATGTGTGACGGTTCTTTGTGAATTTTGTCTTGAGATTGATTGTGGTTGTATTTTGTGTGATGCTTAAAATGAATAAATAATGATTAAAAAAATTAAAGGACTTAACTAGCTTGGTCCAATGATTAAACATGGTTGTTTTGAGATGATTGGGTTTAAAGATTTTTCACTACATTGAATATTTTTAATTTTATATTTGGTTTTTGATATACATCATTAAAAACCATGAACGAGAAAACGAAAACAACCACAATCAAATTTTTTTATACAATTATATATAACTTTATAGAGATATAGATTTAGTCAAACAATAAGACACTGAAGAGTCTGATCATGGGACATAAAATCCTAAAATCTATTAATTTCAAACAATTCTCTAGTAGTATAATTGCACATTAATATTGTTTATATCTATCTAAGCCGCAGTTTGTTTAATCAGCGTTCGGTCGAGAAGGACGAGACTCTGTTGGTGATTGCAAGAATGGACAGTCCCAAAGGCTCGTTGTTGAGAGAGGGACAAGGGCTCCAAGTCCTTAAACTTTCCATCCCTCGGATCATATGCCGCTAAGGCACCGTGGTCATCTTCGACTCGGCCAGTAATGTGGTAAGTGGGGTACTGGTCCATCAACAACTCCCCATTCTTCAAAAAACACACAAACACAGCTGTCGCATCAACACTGTACAATTTCTTCCAGTACACATCACAACATCCCCCCGCGTCCTCCATCTTCACCCAAATTGTCCAATACGTCTGCGAGCCAAGCGTGGGCTCTACCAAATGCAACGAGTCCTTAACTACAGTAAACACGGGGTGAGTCAGCACCCCCTCAGATGGCGGTAAGCCCACCTCTGCAAAAACCTCCTCCGCCACATCGAACGAGTAAAGGCTGGTTTTGGAAAGCAGCTCTTCAAACTCATCAAGCGTCACCTCATCAAAATTAATTTCATCGGAGACGAGCCAGTGCATCTTGCCTCCAGCAAAAGCGCCCGTGCTATTAAACAACAATCGGCGCTCGTCTCCAATTTCGAAATTACCTCTGCGCCACGTGTTTGAGTTCAAGGAATAGATGTGGTACTCTGGGACAGCAGTGGTGTTCCTAAAGACCATGATTTTGTAATCGTCCGTGGTGGCGTCGTATCCAAACTCGATGGACGAGTTCCACGCGTAGCTGAAGGTGGGGTCCGGTAGGTAGACATACCTGCGGATGGTAGGGTTCCATAGCAGAATGGGTATGTTGAGTTCCGCGTCGTCATCGCACAAATAGGATGGGGTGACGGATAAGCATATCAAGCCGTTGATGGAGCCGAGTATGTTGAGAGAGTTTAAGTCTGGGATTTGGAAGGGGAGGTCGAAAGGGGCCAAGCAGGAAGGGTCGGCAGGGAGATGTTCGTCGTCGTTAAGAAGCAAGTACCGCTGCTCGGGTATGTGATTGCCGTTAGCTATAGTAGGCTGTCCAGGGTCTCGTGTGGTGAGCAAGATTTTGGAGGGGTGGTTTGTGGAGAGGTGCAAGGAACAGAATTCGGGGCTGGCTATGATGGACTTCCACGATTTGCATACGGCCCTAAGACGGAGCAAAGCTTGTACCGGCAATCTCGCCAGGATTCCAACTAACAGATCTTCCCTCAGGTAATTATGAGAGGACTCCATTAACTTTTATTATTTCTTAATTTATTTTTCTTGCCGATCAACTAATGGAATTTATGTATGTGTGATTCACCTGGCCTTTGTATTATATAGACAAGTATATAAGTATAGTCGGTGTAGGAAATTTTTAGTCTATTCAAAGTCGTAGTCGGCATAGGATTTTTAGTCGGTATATGAAATTTAGTCAAAGTCATAGTCCGCATAGGATTTTTATTTTTTGTTCTTTCTATGTTATGGTACATATACTTGGAATATAAGAATTTTTCATAAAAAATATGTGACCAAATAACCCACCAATGAAACTACTTGTTACAAGCAATCTTTAATAGTTATTACATTTTAGCATATTTTTTAGATTTTATTTAAAAATAAAACATAATATAATTTTTATGTGTAATTAAAGCGTTATATTAATAATAATAATAACAGTAGAACCAAAGTAATATATATATATTTAAAATGGACAATATAAATCTTATATATCATATAAATTAATCTTTTTAAGAGAATTACTGTATAAAATAATAATAATATAATTATAATATAAAATACATGTAGAATATGCATTATTTAATCTAATAGTTGTTTAGGTATTATTTAAAGTCCAAATATTGAAATGAATTTACAATAGAAAAAAAAAATGTAGTAGTTATTAACTACAGTTACCCAAATAACAAAAAGACACAATTAAATTGATCTTTTATGTATAATTATAGCATATTAATAATAACAATAACAGTACCACCAAAGGTTTACATACGGGCTCAAATAAATCTGGATCATTGGATCTATCATATTTTTATCAAGTAAATCTTTAATAACTGGAATCAAATATGGTGTAAAGTATGTATTTGTCCATTCATTAAGGGTAATTTGTTAGAATATTGAGTCTATTTTAAATATTGGTTCCATTTGATATTGATTTCTCAACCTTCCCAGCTGCCAATTGATCTCATAGGAAATGCATGCGTGAAGAAATTATATTTGGTGAACAAATTGTCAAATTCTTCAACTACAAATACCAAAAATCCCAACCCCCAAACCAATAATCATCAACATCTTGTAACCAATTTTCATCTATAAATACTCATCAACTCATTTGATGATAAACACACAAAAGAGAAGAAAGAAACACGGCAAAGAATAGAAGTGAAGGGAAAAGAAGAAAGAAAGAAAAAAAAAATATTAGTGAGGAAAAATTATCATATAGATAATTTTATTAATATTTTTAAGTGTTCAATTCTCGACTCCTATTCACTTCGCCGGATCTCGTAAATCTGGTGTGCTACAGATTTAGAGACGTTTGCCGTTGTATCTTTAGGGAAGTTACGCTTGAACCGTTAGCTGCCATACGGGGCATATTCTTCTTGCGGAAAGAGTTTTACTCGCCTCGGCTATAATATTTCCGTTTTAATTTATTTTTCATTTGTAATTTATTTTTTCAGTTCAATTGTAATTTTCTATTTTTAGATTATTTGTAAGAACTGAAAAATACATATCAGTTCGTAGGATTCCCGTGTAATTTTATACCCAATTTTTAACATAATTTAGTTATTGAGGGCTGTAAACTCGTCAGAATCACGCTTGGTGGATCGGTCTCCTAGGATTTTGGCTGAGATCTTTGTCGGCATCTATCTTTCTCAGTTGGGTGAAAACTGAGGGGTTAGGAGACATGTCCTTGTGTTTGGTGACCGATCTACTCTCCCATGTTTCCTCTGTTCGAGCTTGATTTATGGTCTTTTCCAAGTTTTTCGTTACACAATCCGGAGATTGGGTTGCGGCTTTAGACAAGGCTAGTCCCTTTCCCTTGTCTCCAATGGGATGAGTGTCTTTTTCGCTGTTGTCTTGGACATATCGATCTCTAACGGCAGCGCTTTAAACGCTGACGGTAATGCGAGCCATGAGGTTTACTATACCCTCTAGAAACTTTGGGTTTTGGAATATTGATGGGATGTCGATGGAGGGAGCCACCGTACGTGGTGGTTCCATTGCTTGCGGCTGTGATTCCGCCTCTTAATTGGATGATGTCATTTTTTTGGGTTGTTTTTTAGTGCTGTGTCGATTGCGAATGTGGTGTTTTTCGAGTTTCTTGTATCCTCAAACAATATGACACCTTCCTCTACTGCCAATCAGTTGTTATACGAAATACGTAACTACGGATTAGGGAATTTCCCTAAGTAAAAATATGCTGAATAGTGAATGAGGTCGGATGACCTGGATTTTATATAGTAAACAATTCGATTTTTTAGTATAGTTTAGGAATTATTTCTAGAGAGAGAGTAATCGAATATGCTTTTATTACAATAAATAAGTGGTATTTATAATAAGAAGCTCACGGGTATAGTTCTCGATGCCTGCACGTTGCTATTTAATGCGATTTGACTGCGATGTGCGGTTCTACAAGGTGGATCCTATGCGTAATGATTGCCATTTAAATATATTTGATTAACTCGAAATTTGTTCCTTCGAACTCGACAATAACAATATTTTTATATTTTAGATTTTTCATTAAAAATATTATGTAAATATATAAAAAATAAAATAAAATTATATCCGAACATTATCAAACGTTAGCGAACGAGCTCGTGTTCGTTTGATTATTAAACGAACCTAATTTTTTGATGGAATTCGGCTCGATTAACAAACGAACGGGCTTTTGTCGAATACGAACGAAGTTTGCAAATGTTGGTTCGTTTACAGCTCTAGTAGAGACCCACTCTAACAATCTTAGAACACAATCCAAAACAGCTAAATGCAAACCCCAATCTACATAAGCCTTACTTTCCGAAAAACATAGAACATCTTTCTATCTTTATGATATTTGTTGTTCAAATCGTTTCCCACTTTCTCGCATGGATGAGAAGAACGAGGATTCATCAACAAAACAGCTCCACCAATCGCTACCCGTAAGCTCTTTTACCCGTATTCTCTGTTTCTTCCATTGGTTTTTCCTTAAAAATCTCAGTTGAACTCTGATTTCGAATAAATTTAGCCAAGGGGTTGTCTAATCCCAGTTGAACTTATTTTCTAATTTTAGACATTATCTAGTTTCTGGAGGTGTTGTGCAAGAATTCTGGGAAAATAAGGCGTTTTTCTGTCGGGACTGAAGCTGGTTTTGCTGTTAATTTGATTAACAAGAAGTTGATGAATGATAGAGATGGTGTTGACTGTTGAGAATGTTCTGATGGCATCCCACATCGAGGCTGTTAAAGAAGGAGAATTAGGAGAAGAGCCCGTTAGCTTTGGCCACAGTTCCTTGCTAGTGGCCCGGTTGGAAGTTGCAAACAGCCCTTGAATCGAACGGTGAATTGAACTTCATAGTTTCAATGTTGTGGATATTTGGACACTTAATGTTGTTGTGATAATTGTCTTGCATTTGATGCCATCCCTATTAGAATATTATATGGGCTCGTAAGGAAATTCGGGATGGAATTTTTTTTGTTCTTGGTATTTTGTTCGTGGGTTTTCTTTTTAATTGTCTGTAAATGGAGAATGATAAGTGTTCCTAGTTTTTATCTTGTAATGAAATAAGAGTTTCGGGTACCTTAATTTTATATCTCTTGTTGTAGGTGATTTATATCTCTTGTTGTAGGTGACAGAAGGACCAGTCCACAAGGGCACAAGAAGAGAGCGGAAAGCTTTTGCTAGGGTATGACATCTCCCCTTGGTTATATTTTGGATTCATTTGGAAATGATATATACTATATTAAAATATGCCTGGAAAACGAGTGGGGAAAGCATATAGCATGCTCTACGTGTTCGAATCTGGAACGGGATGTGGTTTTCAATGAATATGTTAAAAGAGTCCTCTCACAAGAAACAAACTGGTTTTATGAGGCTCTTTTTTTTTTTTTTTTTTTTTTTTNGATTATGTTTGGTTTAGACTTTAGACTTATTCGATGTTTGTGCCTAGAGATTTTCTGGAGTTTGTATGTAATGGCATCTTGAAACAATCTACACTTTAGCTTGCATTATGTGACAGTTTACATGATCCATCAATTTTAGTTGTCATTAAGTGTGATCCTATTTTCCCCATTTGCAGATGATGTAAATGCCATCTTGAAACAATTTAGCTTGCATTAAGCAACCGGTTTCATGATCCATCAGTTTTAGTTTTCGTAATGTGTGATCCTCTTATTCCCATTTGTGGATGATGTTATTATTTAACTGCTTGTATTCTCGGTTGAAGCACGCGAAAGAAATAAAAGTAGCCTTGAGCATGCTGTTTTGAGAAGGAAACAAGAAAGACTACATTCAGAGTCACCACACAACCAAACTTCTAAAGTTTAAATTTTACTTTGTTCTTGGTTTGCAGTTGTGAAATGATGAAATATTAGGATTTTTGTATGAATGAAATTTAAACAAGACATTATCGCTTTGACTTTTTGTGTGCTTCTAGAGTTATGTCCCGTAAGTTTAGAACTGCAAATTAGTGGTTCTAAAACCGTCGATCTCAATCTGCAAACGATGTGTGCCTTTTATGCGCTTTTATCTTCGTAACATGAAAATACCCATCAGTTTCTAATGTTATAATGATCCTTTTGCAGGCCACTGATGATCATCATTCGGAGGCGAGAAAAGAGTCGTCTATCAGCATTCTCTACATTGGGAAAATACTGTTTGCCTTTCTTCTAATATTTGTATTCTGTGCAATTTTCACAGTGGCCCTGGAAAACCTTCCTCGTCTCATCTTGTTTATAAACTCCTTATATAAACTTGAAAGCAAAGTTCGTGGCTATCCCTTTCATGTTTGCTCCATGGTATCATTGTCAGTTGCTCGACTTATGACTGATTTTTAAAATGTTAAAAAAAAATGGTAATGTCAGTAGCTCTGCCGGTTAATAAAATGTTCGAAAAATGGCCAATTTTGGTATTCGGGTAGATTTCATATTTCATTGCCTTTAAAAGTTTATTTGAAGAATATGAAGAAAAATTTAATGGAGAATAAATGGAGAAGAATATGATTTTATTTTCCTTTAAAAAGTAAATGATTTTGGGTTCCAATTTTTGAAATGAACAACCAATTACTATAGGCTGAATATACATTATTTTGGAAAATTTTGTTTGAATGGAAAAAGGGTGTTAAAGAAGAGAAAAGATTATTTTGGTGGGAAATAAAACCTTTTTTTTTTTTTGTAATTGTGAATAGATATGAGATAAAATATAATTATTAAAATTGATGTGTTGAAAACATAGTATAGTAAAGAAGGCAAACGGTTGATAGCTAAAAGTATATACGAAGATGAATAGTAAATTTTATTGAAAAATGAATAATAACTAATTTTTATTATTCAATTGCATTGATAGTTAAAAATATATAAGTATATGAATAGTGATTAAAATATATATAGTAATGAATGATTTTTATTATTTATTTATATTGAAAAAATTGAATTGAAAATAATGAGATTGAACGATTCTTGATTTTTTTTCCAAGAAAAAAAATGTTTTCAATCATATTTTCCGATGGAAAAAATTTATTCAAACCAAACTATATCTATTTTGTATCCCTAGTATATGAATAGTGATTAAAATATATATAGTAATGAATGGTTTTTATTATTTATTTATATTGATAAAATTGATATGAAAATAATGAGATTGGACGATTTTTGATTTTTTTTTCTAAGAAAAAAAAAAATGTTTTCAATCGTATTTTCCGATGGAAAAAATTTATTCAACGAAACAAACTATATCTATTTTGTATCCCTATAACTTTTAAGTTTCACCTATTAATAAAATGTACTGATTAATTTCTTTGAAAAAATGAAGGGAGGAACAAAAAAAAGAGGAAATGAAATGAAAACGTCAAATCTATATATATATAATAAGAATTATCATTTACCAAAAATAGGAGCAAAAAAATAGGTAAAAATTTAATGCCGCCTATAAATAGTAAGTTTATTATTTTTCTTTTTTTTAAAAAAAAAATCATACATCATTAAATGCTACCTTAAATTTCGGGCTTAAGTTTATTTTATTATTTAAAAAATCCGGTTAAGATTTATTAATTGTGTATGTTTTTATTTTTATTTTTTTTCTTAGAAACAACAAACAAAATTAAAATGTAGGTCTCTATATTTAAAAAATCTCAATTCAAAATATAACAAAAGTTTTAGAATCCCGATCTTTATATTTGTGCCTTTAAAGAAAATATTGAACGCTAAAAATATTCTTTAAATTGCATAATCAATCAATTAATCTTAATTTTTTGAAAATTACAATGTTATTTTTTATTAATATGCATAAAGTAAAAATAATTAATTCATCTTTAGATATATTATTTATAATCTTAATATACTACCATTTGGTGTAGACATTTATTATATGAATCATAGAATTAAATATATTAAAGAAAATTAGAAAATTTCTTCGGGGTCAATCGGGTGATTGAATTAGGGTAGTGCCCAGGTTGATTGAATTACTTTTAGGTGATATTTAAAATAGTCAAAAAAACTTGACACAACTTGGTTGGTCCCAGGTGACTAAGTTATGTATCAGTTCGACCACACTAAATCGATTATTGAACTTAAATATAAATTTTATATTGAAAGTATTTTATTACGTGAATGTGATGTAGTCCAAACTTCAAATAATCGTATTAACAATACTTTTATGACAACATGTTTAATGATTTATGAATATTTATATATCATTTTATTAATATTTATGTGAATTAAATAATATTTTATTATAATATCTATAATGTACAGTAAATATAAAGTTTGCAAAACTGGACCGTCATCGAAACGATCAAGCTATTTTATTAAATCATTTGTGGTTTGTTCAGATTTTAATTTATAAATATTTTAATATATATATATATATATATAATTAAATTGTGTTACTTAGATATCTAAATAATTTATAAATTCAAATGTTTAAACTAATTGATAAATAATTTATAAATCTCTATTTTATTTAATTATAGAATTTTATTTAAAATAAATTAAATATAACAAAATTTTAGAAAATCGCATCGATCCTACCAGTCCAACCGACTGGTGTTGACGGATTCGAGAGCAAATATTTTATTTAAGCGAACTATATTGGGTTTTCGGTGCATCTTGTCAGACTGTGTCTAACCCAGTTTAATTTATAAATAATAGATAAATCATGATTAATGTTATTTATTTATTCAATTTATAATACAATCATAATATTGTTTTCTCGTCCATCGCACGCACTTCTACGAAAGAAAAGAATATACCTACATGAGACCAAACAAAAAAAATTTCACAAAGGCTCATCACACCCTTATCTTAAACCCTTCCGCCAATGCCGTCGTTCGCCGCCGCTCCGTCTCATTCCCTCCGTCTCACTTCGTCGCCGGCTAATCGCCGCCATAATCCCTCTGCAAACCATGCCGTTTCACCCACGGCTTCGACTCTCCAATGTAGTCTCCCATCCCTCCCCGCCGCCTCCTCCTCCCAAAACCCTAAACCTTTGAGACATCCCACATTTTTTCCTAACCCTGTAATTTTCCCCAAATCAATTGCCGCCTCAGCCGCCTCGTGGGTTCTTTTCCACATAGCCAAACCTGCTTTCTCTGGCAGCAACCCTATATTTAGCTCCGGAGGAGGCGGCAGCGTCGGAGGTGGTGGAAGCGGCGGAGGCGGAGGAGGAGGTGAAGGTGGGGAGGGCGGTGGCGGTTTCTGGCGGTTCTTTTCTCCCGCAGCTGTTGCTAAAGACGACGATCCCCAACAAGAGTGGGATTCCCATGGATTGCCGGCCAACATCGTGGTTCAGCTGAACAAACTCGGTAGTTTCAAGAAGTACAAGGTCTCTGAAATCCTATTCCTGGATAAACGGAGCCTCTCGACGGTAGGCACAGAGGACTCTTTCTTTGAGATGGTGTCCCTCCGGCCTGGGGGTATTTACACCAAAGCTCAGCTTCTGAAGGAGCTGGAAACCCTAGAAACATGTGGAATGTTTGAGAAAGTTAATCTGGAAGTAAAGACGAATCCGGATGGCACCATCAATATAACCATTCCGTTCCAAGAGTCCTCGTGGCAGTCGGCTGATAGATTAAAGTTGATTAACGTGGGACTCATGCCGCAGTCCAAGCCTGTTGAAATGGACCCTAATATGACCCAGAAGGAGCAAATTGAGTACATGGACAAACAGGCGGATGAATACTTTATTAGGATGAAGAAGGCAAGGCGGTGTTTGATGCCAATGTCTAAGCAACAAGAGATAGAGGTGATGATGGTGAATCATGGCAGGGTGACCGCGAGATTGTTGCAGAAGATAAGGGATAGCATTCAGCAGTGGTATCATGAAAACGGGTATGCCTGTGCACAAGTTGTGAATTTTGGGAATCTGAATACGAGACAGGTGGTATGTGAAGTGGTGGAAGGTGATATCACTGAGCTATCGGTTCAATTCCAGGATAAGCTGGGTAATGTCTGCGAGGGGAATACTCAGCTCGCTGTAATAAAGAGAGAATTGCCCAAACAGGTCAGGTTGACTAGAACTGTTAGCCGTATTCAGTTATGTGACATATATTGAGGTTCTATTGTAGGGATATGGTGGACTTGTGTTAAAATGATAGTTGGACTGTTTCAAGGAGTATCAAGAATGGTGGCATATCATATATTAACTGATTCCCCTCTTGTATTATGAAAATAGGGGAGCTATGTGGTGACATTTAACACACTTCAGGGTTTAAGTGTTTGACATAATCATATTAATATGTAGTCAGTGTACTATTGTGACCAATTGTTAACTGCCTTTGTTGATGTAATTGAATAATGCTTTTACATGGGTCTGTGTTCAACACGAGCATGCCTGCTTTTTAAAATGGTTTTTTTTTTTTAATAATTTGGAGCCATAAATTTGATGACCTGGTCAGTTGATCATTAATCATTATGTGCGCGATTGAATTTATTTACTGTAATTTAAGGGTTGGACTCTTTTTTTTTTCCTCGCGTACAGCTTCGAGAAGGACGAGTTTTCAATATTGAAGCTGGGAAGCAAGCACTAAGGAATATAAATTCTTTATCTCTCTTCTCTAACATTGAGGTAAACCCGCGCCCGGATGAAAACAATGAGGGAGGCATTATTGTTGAAGTCAAGCTCAAAGAATTGGAACAGAAGTCTGCTGAAGTTAGCACAGAGTGGAGTATCGTTCCAGGTCGCGGGGGCCGTCCTACACTGGTGAATAGCATGAACAGAAATCCGATGTTTTTTATTGAAGTTTTTTGTAATATATCCGCTAAGTGTTTTTTTACTTACCAAATGCTGCTCAGGCTTCAATCCAGCCTGGTGGGACTGTTTCTTTTGAGCATCGTAATATTTGCGGTTTGAATAGGTCACTTCTTGGTTCAGTGACTACTAGCAACTTCCTTAACCCTCAGGTGATTACATTTATTCAAGTTTCTTTTCCAGAATGAAGTGCAAATATTTCTATAGCATTAACATATGTCTGTATAACATCTACAGGATGACCTTTCTTTCAAGCTGGAGTATGTCCATCCATACATAGATGGAGTGTACAATCCTCGCAACCGTACTTTCCGTACTAGCTGCTTCAATAGTAGAAAGCTGAGCCCAGTCTTCACTGGTGGACCTGGAACAGAAGAAGTTCCCCCTATATGGGTTGACCGAGCTGGAATTAAAGCAAACATTATGGAGGTATGCTTTTCCTTCTTGATCTTGTTATATTTTCCTGATAGATTTTATCTGACCTAATAGCTGAGTCCAAGCTATGATTAGGTGGATTGTGAATTGTTTTTTAAACTGACTTGAGTAAGTAGAAGATTGAACTCAAATATGTCATACGAACTCTATTATCTTG